ACAAAACCCCCCAAACAAAACCCCCCCAAAACCCCCTCAAATCTCCCCAAAAACCCAAATAAAAACCCCGAACCCCCTCAAAAAAACCCCCACAACCCGACCCCAAACCCGCAGCTGGCTCGGCGCGGGGGGGGGAGGGAATAAATAATAACAATAATATTAATAATAATAATAATATTAATAAAAATAATAAAATCTTGAATTTGCGGCGTTCGGGGCTCCCCGGCTGCACCAAAAAGCGGCGATTTGGGGTTTTTTTTTTCCCCTTTCTCCGCTGCCATATGGCGCGTCCTGCTCCATCCTTTGTGTGATGTCGGGATATTCCCGGGAAAAAGCCGCGGGAATCGCGATTCTCCCGGGCCCCGCAAACCGGGAGAGGGAAAAACGCAAAATTTAAAAAAAAAATTGAGAATTTTAAAAAAAATCCCAGCGTTTGTCCCCAGAGCGCGAGGTGAGATTTTGGGATTTCGGAGGGGGGAGAAATCCAGGGGAAAATGTGGGAAAAAATTCAAAATATCCAAAGAGTTTTCTGGCGTTGGATTCGGGATTTTCCCGCAAAATAATGAGAAATACAAAGCGTTTTTGGGGCTGTTTTGGGGCTGTTTTAGGGCGTTTTTGGGGCGTTTTTGGGGCGTTTTTGGGGCGGTTTTGGGGCTGTTTTGGGGTGGGCTGAAGTTGTATTTTTTTTCCCGTAAAAAACCGAGAAATTCAAAGCGTTTCGAGGTGGGCCGGAGTTCTTTTTTTTTTTTCCGTCAAAAAATGATGAACACAAAGCGTTTTGGGGTGGTTTTGGGGTGGGCTGGAGTTATTTATTCTTTCCGTGAAAAAAGAGATAAATACGAAACGTTTCGAGCAGCGCCGGACTTCTTGTTTTCACCCGAAAAAAAAAACCAAGATAAACATAAATCTTATTTTCCGGCCTGGTTTTGGGGTGGGTCGGAGGCGCCTTGTTTTGTATTTAATTTTATTTTAATTCTATTTTATTTTGTATTATTTTGATTTATTTCATTTTTGTTTTATTTTTATTTTATTTTGTGTTGCTTCATTTTATTTTATTTTTATTTCATTTTATTTCATTTTATTTCATTTTATTTCATTTTATTTCATTTAATTTTATTTTATTTCATTTAATTTCATTTAATTCCATTTAATTTTGTTTGACTTTATTTCATTTCATATCATTTTATTTCATTTCATTTTAATTCATTTCATTTTATTTCATTTCATTCCACCTCACTTCATTTATCTTTTTTTCCCCCCTCTTTGTGAAGGACACTCAACCCCAAACAAACCAAAACAAAAAAACCGAAAAAAACCCAAAAAAAACCTCAAAAAAACCCCAAAAAGCTCCCCAAAAAATAGAAAAAAAACCCCAAAACCAAAAGAAAACAAAAAAAATTAAAAAAATCCCTCCACTAAACCGCAAAAAACACAGGAAATAGCAAAAAAACCCCCAGAAAATAGAAAAAAACCCCCAGAAAATAGCAAAAAATCCCACAGAAAATAGAAAAAAAACCCCCAGAAAATAGCAAAAAATCCCACAGAAAATAGAAAAAAAACCCCCAGAAAATAGCAAAAAATCCCACAGAAAATAGAAAAAAAACCCCCAGAAAATAGCAAAAAATCCCACAGAAAATAGAAAAAAACCCCACAGAAAATAGAAAAAAACCCTCCAGAACATAGCAAAAAATCCCCAGAAAATAGCAAAAAAAACCCCCAAAAAACCCCAAAAAAACCCTAAAAAAACCCCAAAAAACCCCAAAAACCCGCAAAAAAACCCCAAAAAAAAACCCAAAAAAAGGCGGCAGCTGGCCAGAGGTGCATT